GTCGGGCTGAGGGAGAAGCGGGGGACGCTTACCCGGCGACTCCGACCTCCTCGCTAGTTCTCTGGAGAAAAAGTGCGAGACTGACGGTTGGTGGCAGGAAAATAATCCGGGGGGAGGGGGCGTGGGCGCAGCGCCAGGGTTCGCCGACGCGCACCTCGGTGGGCGCGCAGGTGTGTTCAGAGATAGCGCTCCGGCCGAACCCCGAGGCCAGGCGGCGATGAAGGCCCGGGGCGCAGTCCTGCTGTCTTCTCCGTCTGCTCTATTAGCTGCCAGGGAGGGAAGTGCAAACAGAATCCAAATACAACCCGCCTCCCGGCTCCCACCGAGTGTCACCACACTAGGTCAAGTCTACCAAGCTTCCACCGCTTCCCTTCTCTCTTCCTCTTCCAGACAGTTTTTAGAAAAAGCACTGCCTTCTATTGCACGTCACCTTCGCCCCTCTTGCTTCTTCCATCCGTTCAGTGCAATTAAAACAACAACAACAAAACAAACGTGAGCAGAATTTGCTAGCCACTTAAGTGATTTGTAAATGTGATAGAAGCCTCCTAAAATTAATTTCAATATACTTAATCCTATATACTCAGATGGTATCATTACATCATGTGATTAATGTTAAATGTGAATGGCATAGGTTGTCTCTCTCTCTCTCTCTCTCTCTCTCTCTCTCTCTCTCTCTCTCTCTCTCTCTCTCAATTAGTTGAAGTCTAATGTGTATTTTATTCTTAAAGCATATCCCATTTGGGATCAGGCACATTTAGAATGCTCAAGAGTTACATGTAGTTACTGGCTGCTGTAGTGCACACCACAATTCTAGTAATTATGTGCAAATTGTTTTTGTCAGGGCTGATGGTGCTAATGCCAAGTGAAAGGTGAATGTAAATAATGAAAAGTAGATGTGCTTACCATTGGATCGAACCATCTCCAGAATTCTGAGTTTAGCCCTGTGATTTAAGGAGGGCTTAATGCTTTCCCAATTTTCATCTACAGAACTATTTCAAATAGGGCCAAAACTTTCTTGTTAACTTTTCTTATTAACCACGAGAACATGCCTTCACATATACAAAAAAGAAAATACGGTTTTATTGAGTACAACCATGAGTAAATGATTTCAGTTTAAAAATTGAGTGGAGACAATGCTCTTGCATTTTAAAATGTGTGTGAATATGGGTCGTGGTCACTTTTCAATCACTTGTTTTTGTTTCTTTGGTGGTTTTTTGAGAATAAAGTCCCCTGCAGTTCAGGCTGGCTTCAGACTTTGAATACTGGATGCACCTGCCTCCACCTCCCAAGTGCTGAGATTACAAGCATGTGCACCATGCCTGGTTCATTGGTTACTTCTTGCTTAACCTTCTTCAGTTAAGACCCCAAACGCTTCAAAATCTGAAAGTGAGTTCTTACTCAAGCAGTTGTCCCATGCCTGTGCCCGGCTTTTGATTATTGCCCCTTTGTTTCCGTTTAACATTTTTTTTTTCTTGGTGGGTACTAAAATTGAACACAGGGCCTTGTGGATGCTAAGCTTGTCCTTCACTACCGAGCACACTGCCAGCTCCTCCCGTTAAAGCTTTCCTGGTGGATAGTCACCTTTTCTAACACAGACATTACTAGTGAGTATATGGTCATTCTGCATCAGAGAATATTTATGAGCTCCTTGTACTAGGGAATTAACTCAGAGACATCCTTGGCCATCTCCCTATTTGCTGTTGTGTAATTTTAGCCCTGTTCTTAGGAAATATTAGAGATGGACTTGGGGGTAACGCAAATGAATTTAATTTGTAATGTGTAACCAACATTTATCGAAGATTTTTAATCACGAATCTGCTACTGTTTTAAGAGTCTTGTCTTTATCACTTTATATAGTCCTCATATCCTGTGGGGAAGACATTCTAATATGCTCATTTTACAGAAAATATGCCAGGATATTGCTGAGACTCAGATTAGTCTGGGGACTATTGTAATGCTAACCTCCAGGTACTGGATACTGCATGACAGTAAGAGGCCACAGGAAAAAAAATAAGAGTACAGTGTGGGGCTCACTGAAAATCACTAGAAAAGCTAGAAAAGCTCTTCCTCTTCATTTATACATTGCTTATTGATTTGCAGCAAAAGGAATATAGAAAAACTCCATTCCAAGAGGTGGAAAGTGTGGTGTGCACTGTCAGAAGGGGACCTGCCACAAACTAGGGCCAAGGTACCTTCCCTTTACCTGTGCTTAGGAGGTGTTCTCCAGGAAGCCTTCATGAAGTTGCTAGACTCTCCCTTGAGACAGTTGTGCTCTGAGAGGGTGTTATCATGGAACCTTTGCATGCTAGATTGCTAGAATTTTTGTTTGTTAAAAAAAAAAAAACTTTCTTATATGAGCTAGCTTGTTAGAGCCCATTCCCTATGGTAGGATGCCATGCTCAGTCTTAATGCATAGGAGAGGGGTCAGGCCCTGCCCCAATCTATTGTACCAGACTATGTTGACTCCTCATGGCAGCCCTTACCTGTGAAGAGGAGGAGACTGAGGGTGGGCTAGGGGAGAGGTGAGGGGGGTAGGAGGAGATGAAGGGGGATGGGAGGAGGGGTAGGAGAGAGAATTGTGGTTGGAATGTAAAATGGAATCAAAAATAAAAAAAATAATAAAAACCTACTTCTTTACTGAACTATCTCTTTGAAGTTAGATAGTACCTTATCTGTACTTTGAGGTTACTGGTTCTCAGTCTGTGGATCATGACCCCCAGGTTCGCATGACCCTTTCACAGGGCTCACATATCAGATATCCTGCATATCAGATATTTACATTCTGATTCATAACAGTAGCAAAATTACAGTTATGAAGTAGTGACAAAATCATTTTATGGTTGGGGGCCACTACAACATGAGGAACAGCCACAGCTACACAGAGAAACCCTGTCTCAAAAAAACAAACAACTACAAAAATACAGTTCCTTAATCAAAGAGATACAGACTTAAGCTGCCACCTCCCAGCATGAGGAACTGCATTAAAGGCTTGAAGCATTAGGGTGGTTGAGAACCACTGTTCTAGGTTCTGGCCCAGTACTTGGTCTACATAATCTTCAAGCTGTAATGGTATTAAATACAATAGACTTGCCTTTCCTTTCGTCACCATTATAATTACAGTGATGAAGACTGGTTTTTAAAAATGACTTCAGGTTCATCAGTGGACTTCATGGGAATAGAAAGAGCATCTTTCAAGACCCCCTAATGAGAAAATTTTCATAAATATGAAGGAGGAAATATTTGCAAGGCATATATTTAACATGTATGTAGGAAATATGAAGAACCATTAAAACCCAACTATAAAAACAAAACAAAACAATCCAATTAGAGAATGGACATATTGCATTTATAGAACAAGGAAAAACCTGCATGAATAGATAGTTCACTGAAGAGAATATACAGGGAACATTTAAGTTCATGAAAAATGTTCAACATAATTAGCCACTAGTTACTGAAAATGAAAACTAATGACATTTCAATATTCACTTACCAAAAAGACAAAATCAAAAACCAAAAACAACCCACCCAGTAGCTTATACCGTATTTCAGAGGAAGATTGGGGAAATCAGGCAGTGTGTGGCAGGGTCAGTTTTCTGGCAAGTAGAACTTTATAGGGTGATTTTGAGGCTATGAGTGTGAAACCAATGTAATGGAGACCCCAGGAAGTTGGAGATGCCAGAAATATAGACTATCTAAGAAAAGCAGCATAGCCAGCTACTCCCTGGACCCCACAAAAAGAATAATAATGCAGGGCTGGAGAGGTAGCTAAGTGGTTAAGGATGCTTGCTATGCATGCATGAGAATGGGAGGGTTGGAATTCGGATCCTAGCACCTATGTAGCAAGCCAGGACCCAAGCATGCCTATAACTTCAGCATTGTTGGGTATGAAGACAGGAGGGTTGCTGGGGTTTGCTAGGTACTGGCTAGAACAAAAATTGTGAGCTCTAAGTTCAGGGAGAGATTCTGCCTTAAAGAACTAAGGTGGAGAATGATGGGATACTCAGTACCTTTCTCTGGCCTCTGCATGTACACACACACATATATCACTCACTCACACACACAACTTTGTACACATATTGTCTCCCATACACAAACAAAAGACCACATGGGCTGCAACTGGAAAGGCAATGATGGCAGGACTGCCCAAGCACTGTAGAACTCAGATGGTGCCACCATGTGCCTCAGCTCCCAGACATGGAACTTATGAGACTTAATATTTACCCTTCAGGGTTTTGTCTTTGCCATGGTCCCATTTTCTATTCTTCAGCTCTATTCTTTTTTTGAATGGGAATATTTAGTCTGTGCCATTTTATACTGGATTAATGTGATCTTTATTATACAAGGAGATTTAGACTCAAATCATTTTGAGTCTCAGAGATGTTGAATTTGGGTTTTTGAACAATGTTGAAACTGATGAGACTTTGGGGACTCTTAGAAATGAATTTAAAGCATTTTGCATTGGTATGAAAATATGCTTCTTGGGTGGGAACAGAAATGCAATCTGAAGATTTTAATATGTAATATTACACCCGCCCCCACCCCCCACTCATACATACTATGGTGAAGCCTTGGCTCCCAGCTGGAGGGAACTATTTTGGGAGCTAGTGGAATTTTTTTTTCTTTTCTTTTCTTTTCTTTTTTTTTTTTTTTGAGACAGGGTTCCTCTGTGTAACAGTCCTGGCTGTCCTGGAACTCGCTTTGTAGACCAGGCTACTCTCAAGCTCACTGAGATCTGCCTGCCTCTGCCTCCCCAGTGCTGGAATTAAAGGCATGTGCCACCACCGCCCGACTGAGATAGTGGAATTCTTAGAAGACAGGGCTTAGCCAGAGAAATTAGGTCATTTAGGGATAGGCCTCTGGGGGCTCCCAACTGCCCTTTTTCCTCTTGTACCCCCTCTTTGCTTCCTGGTTGCCATAAACCGATCAGCTTTTCTCTGTTATCTTTCCTCCATGACATTTGCTCCTTGTCGTGGGTCTTAAAGCACCAAAGCCAGCCAGCCATGAACTCTGATAATTCAGAAACTGAGCCATAATCTTTCCTCATTTAAACTGTTTTTCAGGTAATTTGTCACTGTGCTAGAAAGTTTTATTACACAATAAACCTTGCTGCATCTTACTCAGTCATTCCTAGCTGATTCAATTCATAACCACCACAGTGAATTAAATGCCA